TTGCTTGCTACAACATAGTAAGTAATGCCAAAGCTCCTAGCTAAAGCCAAGGAATCTTTATTACTGTGCATCCCACCTAGACCCAGCAGTTTTACATTTCAGAGTGTGTCATTTGTTGACACTAGGACTATTTTACTTATTAGTCAGGAATAAAAACCCAAACCTTGCCATATCAAGATTTCTTACTCTCCTCTAGTTTAACAGTCCATTTTCAATTTCATATCAATTGTGGACTCAACTTCAGGGAATTCAAAAGTTTAAGGTATTATTAGGCTGTTTTCTTCTAAGATTTTATCTGGTTGCAGGATCTAAGTTCTTCACCATCATGGCATTTGCAGAGGGGCAAGTGGACTTCTTGTTGTCTAAACCTATTGCTGAAAGGTCCACTGTTGATACAACTTGCAATCTATTCTCTCAAAGTGTGATTGCTTTCCCTCGCCCTTATTCCAGAACTTATGGATCTCAGTGTCTTCTCAATAGGACCCTCCATGGATTCACACCATAGCCTCTGCCATGAGTTTGCCTCACCCTGCCCTGTGGCAAGCCTGTGGAACGCAACTGGGTTCTCACCAAATTTACATTCTGTATCTCCTTTTCAGTCCACTGTAGTCAAGCAAGATGCAGGAGGGGGAGTGGTTATCAATGCTGCCTAGTCCTCTCTGCTTAAACATATTATGCTGCCATTTCATTGTAGTTGCCTATGTTGGGCAAACTTCCAGGTGTGAAGCAGGGCACAAGCCACAAGCTCCTATTTTTGAATTCCCAAGTCTTCCTTGCAGTCTTCCCTTACTCATTGGGGTTTCAACCCTGAGGAGAGAGCCAGGCAATACGTGTCTCAATTCATGCGCTCTTTCCCCTCTTGCAATACAATTGAGATTGCCTCTATTTTCTTCTAATGATTTAATTCTCAGGTAGGTTTGCTCTACTTGGTGACCAAAGGCCATAGGTAGTTTAAGTCGCTACTTAATTTCAGAGTTAGGTGCCTTTCTCAATAGCGCTAGCCAAAATGGTGAGAATGTCTGACTGGCTTCATATTGTTAATCTGCCCATGCCTGAACCAATCAATATGCCTGAGGAATGGGGGAACTTTGGCTGGTCTGACTCATGGGCCCATACCTGTGGTATGACAGTTAGGACTAGGTAATGGATGGTTGCACTTGGGGAAAAAAGGGTAGGTCTATATTAGTTAGGATAAACTCTCAAATCTCAGTGGCTTAATACAAAAGAATGGATGTGAACTCTAACACAAGTATTCTTAATAGGCAGAGAGCTAACCTCCAAGTGGAGATTCAGGAAAACAGAGTCCTTCCATGTTGTGGTGTCACCATTTTCAGCACATGGCTTCCAACGCAAATGTGCCCATCTGCCTCAAGTAGACAGGGAATGAGGAGATCTTGGAGGACTGTTCATGCGTTTTTACGGAGCAGAGCTGCAATAAGAGCACATCACTTCTACTTTATTCCACTAGTTAGAACCTAATTGGCACATCTAACTGGTAAACCTAATTGTAAGTGAGGCTGGGAAATATAACCTTACTCTGTGTCCAGAAAAAGAATCTAGTGTCGGCAACAGTCCACTATTCTGATCACTAAATATCTATTTTACCTCTCTTCCCACATGTAGAACATATCCTATCCCAATGGAAAAAACCTAAAGTTCTATCCAGTCAGTAGGTCAGGCTCAAAGCCTAGGTTTTTAGGAAATGCAGTCCTCTTCACTGGGTCCAGATGTATCCTATGAACTAAAAACACAAGTTATTTCTAATACCACCTCATGTCCCAGCAACCCAATTTACAGTGGTAGATCAGGGACAGGTAACTACAATAGGCTTTCATTAGGAATGGAAAAAAATACGAGACACTAGGCAACATGGATGCTTAACGATGACATCCTGCACAGGCATTTCTGATCCATCTCCCCTGGGAGTGGAGGAAGTTTTGATGAGACTCCACTAGTCTTTGAGAGGAACCCCCTTGCTCTCTGTCTTCTGCATGAGCCCTTATACTAGCTTCTGACATGTTCTTTGTCCACCATTCTCCATGGCCACATCCTATGTGGGTATTGGGGAGCCCTTTATACCCTATTTCCTACTTATACAAGTTTGGAGTTGAACAGTTGCCTTACTGTTTTCACATGTGAGCAACATTTGAACCAGGTTCATGATTTGATTAGTGATAAAATTCCTTCAAAAGTTTAGTCTTATGATCTATTTGCTTCCAGTAACCACACCTGAATTTCTTTCTTACGTAATTCTCAAACCTGATTTACGTCTTTGCTTCCTTGCGTTCACGTCTGTTTCTCTAGAACTTCATCCCAGCCACCTTGAGGCCATCTACAATAATGGCTTTGGATGGGAGGGCCAAAGCCTTGATCTAATCTTTGTTCCAGGACTAAATCTTAAGGGAACGTACTCAAGGCCTCTTCCAGTTTCATTTTTTACCATTCAAGGTCCAGAAAAAGTCAGCTTTTCCAATCCTTCCAAATATTCCTATTACTTCCATTTCTGCAATTATTTCTGCAATATAAAGAGCTTACCTCTTAGTAAAACTTAGCTAAAAATAAAATGTAAAATTCAACATACACTATTACTTTTATTCTTTAGAGCTATTTCCTCTGGAACCACCATCTCAATAGATAGGTGATACGCTTTTCAATTATCATGGGAGACAGTTTTGCCACCGTAAAACATGGGTCTCTTTCCAGCCTCTGGTGTTAGTTTCTCCAACATCTGCTGCATCATCACTAAGTCAAAAAACCCATAATTGAGGGTACTGTCTTAGCAGCACTCTACTTCCAGTACTGGATTAGTTACGGTCATTTTAACTCTTGTAACATATAAATTCTCAAATGTCAATTTTCTCTCTTACAAAGAAGTCCCAAAAGGAGTTTTTCTAATTTGGAGGTGTTTGCCTTCCAAGTAGTGATTTAACCCACTCACGTTTCTTGTCTCTTCTGGCTCTGGCATCTCCAACATATAGTTTTCAGTGTCACTATACTCACTAGCTTCAAGCTGACAGAGAAAGAGTAAGGGAAGATGGGAGGACTTCATTAAGCCTGGAAATGTGCGTATCACTTCCATTCACATTTCACTGGCAATAAGTCAATTACATGGACACACTAACTACAAAGGAAACTGGAAGACTTAGTTTACCTGTATTTTCTGGAAGAAGAAATAAGTTTCATGAATGGCTAGTCAAGTCTCTGCCACAAAGTTCTAAAAGGAAAAAAATGCTAGACAAAAATAACAGAAAGTCACTCTGTCCATTCTAACAGGTTTGACCTTATCCTACTAGTCCCAACAAAATAATCACTTCAGTACTATATAAAAGAGTAAGAATTCATTTTTTTCCAAGTAATGGGATTACTTTAAAGAGAGTATTTTTGATAGTACAATTGGTATAGAAGTTAGACTGCAGAAGGTTAGTGAGTGAATTTCAGGTAACAAAGAGACACTGACTGTAGAATATTCTTTAAAGCTTGACCTGGAAGGACGGGAAAGAGAGTGAGAGCTACAGAAGGATAAGCTAAGGAACCAGAAATGTGGGAGATTGAAGACAGAAAAGATAATAAATGGAAGAGAAAAAGGGGACCGGAAGTTGAGTACAGATGGATAATTAGGCTTACATAAGAGCAAGGAGAGTCTCATTCTGATACTGGAGAAAACGAAAGATCCATAAGTATCTAAGTTTCTACCATTTGGAAAATTGAAGGAGTTTGTGCCTAATGGCATCAATCTTCTTGTGAATGAAGTTTGAAGTAAAGTCATATAATGAACTGTGGCTGAGGTTTAAAGACTGCAAAAAGTATTCTGGTGGGAAGGGAAAAAGGTGCTGAAGGATATCGAAAGAAGGAGGGAGGAATCCAGCTGAGGTTACAGAACCTAAATCTCTAGTGGTAAGATACACAATGTAGTGTACTGCTCTGCATAGGCACTGAGCAACCAATAAAAGACAGGAACAGGCAGATGGTTGGCACTTTGTATATCTATTTACTATAGCACTTATTACACTGAAGAGCCCTTGGAAGCAGGGACTTTGATTTCATAAACAATGCACACAGTAGGCGCATATGAATTTTTGCTTTAATGAATTGATTCAGTCATTGCCAATTCTGCCATAGTACTCTGTCGAGTACTGGCAACTGCCCACATTTCATATGGCATGCCAATACTAAAAAGAAAAAAAAAACGCTAAAAAAATTCAGGCACACGCAGCTAAACTTAGCAGTCTTAAAAAGGCAACTCTGTCAGCTGAGACATACTTTTTTATCTTGTGCCAGTACATCTGCCTTCGATGTTTGCTTCATTTTCCTTATGCCACTGTGCTCTTATTGGACCAGAAAGGATAATTCTGAGTTCAATAAGCTACGCTATTTCAAAAGTCCTGGAAGTTCTTCACACACCTACACCTTCACAACCCTCGCGCATCACAATATTCCAAGATATGCAGAGATAAGGATGATTATTTATGATGCTCACTTCATAGACAAAAGCTGAGTCGGTGAGGGGTGGAAGAACTAAATCAGGGTCATTCAGTGAATGGTCTGCAAACTCTGGCACAGATCCTCCTTCCTTCTCTTGTCTTCTCCACTTTGGAAACTTTAGAGATGGTGTGATCTCAGAAATCACCTAATCGAACTTCTTTATATTACACAAGTGCGAACTCAGTGATCAGGAAGCCTATGACCCAAAACTTAGGCAAAGAGGGCTCCTTCCCCCATACGACGCCACCTCTCAAGATCCAAAGCCCTAACTCACGATTCGCCGGTGCAAAAAATGGCCAGGAATAAAACTACGTGCAACAGTCCGCAACGAGGCCCCACCTCCCGGATCTGGCGGTCCCGGCCTCCAGCTACCCAAGCGTGCGGACCGCGCTCCCGCCCGCCTTCCCCGCCGGCGGGGGCCGCTCCACGCCAGCCCGCCCGCCCCGTGCCCCGCGCCCCGCGCCCCGCAGCACCGCCCGCTCGCCCTCGCGGCCCGGGCCAGGCCCTCCAAGTCTCACTTTCGTCTTTCGGCCACCCGCGCGCCACCGCTCGGGCGACGGCTGATGGCGTCACTTGCACTTCCGCCTGCGGCTGCGTTCTAGTCACAAGCAAGGAAGGAAGAAGGGAGGGCTGAAGGGCTGCGTGTGGGGGAAATAGCGAGGAAAGAGAAGCAATCCGGGCGCTCGCGGGCGCTCCGGCAGTCGCCGCGGCCGTCCTCTGTCCCCGCCGTCCCCCCATCGGAAGTCGCCCTAGACACACTCCCCCCCGCTGCTTCGTCGTCTCGGCTCCTCTGGGTATCCCGACACCCGGGTCTCCCTCTACGCCTCGCCACCCCCCCGCCCCCGCCCTCTCCCTCACACTCCCTCCCTCTCCCTCCCTCCCTCCCATCGTCAGGCTCCCCGCCCTTAGTATCGCGAGACGAGGTGAGAGCTGGCGGAGCGGCGGCGGCGGCGGCGGCAGTAGAGGTGACCGAGGCGGTGGCGGTGGAGGCGGCACCGAGCGCTGTGTCGGCCCCGGTGCGGCCGAAGTCGCGGTAGAGCGTAGCCCCCACGCCCCTCCCCCGTCCGCGCCCTCCCTCTTTCTCTGGGGATGGAGAAGGCGACGGTTCCGGTGGCGGCGGCGGCGGCGGCGGCGGCGGCAGCAGCAGCTGAGGGAGAAGGGAGCCCCCCGGCGGTGGCGGCTGTGGCGGGCCCCCCCGCGGCGGCGGCGGAGGTCGGCGGCGGCGCTGGCGGCGGCAGCGGGGCTCGCTCGGCCTCGTCTCCTCGTGGGATGGTGCGAGTCTGCGACCTGCTCCTAAAGAAAAAGCCGCCGCCGCAGCAGCAGCAGCACCATAAGGCCAAGCGTAACCGGACTTGCCGACCCCCCAGTAGCAGCGAAAGCAGCAGCGACAGCGACAACAGCGGCGGCGGTGGAGGCGGTGGAGGCGGAGGAGGTGGCGGCGGCGGCACCAGCAGCAACAACAGCGAGGAAGAGGAGGACGACGACGACGAGGAAGAGGAGGTTTCTGAGGCAAGGGCCTGGTTTCAAAGGAAGGAGGGAGGAAGGGATTGTAAAGGGCAGGGGCCGAAGGTGGGAGGGGACTTGCGGTGGGACAGATTCCTGTGGGTTGATCTATCTTAGGGGCCAGGCTTTCCTCTGCCCTCTTTCTTTCCCCGGCCTCAATCGTGAGGTGTGGGCATGTGGGGGAGGGTAGCTGACACGTGGGGGTGGGAGGACCACAGAGTTGGTGAACAGCACGTTACCGGGCATGGTTCACATGGTTAAGGATGGAGGGAATTGGTTAGATCTTCTATTCGCACTCCCGGCGGGGTCTGCCTGGGGCCAGTAGGGCCATCTTATTTCTGGGGCGGGGGCGGGACCAAAGCGGGAGGGGTAAGATAATAGGTAGATGAGTCTCTTGGGGAAAGACTGGGAGGTTGGTAAATTTCTCCCGCTGGTGAGCTGGAGGAGAGCAGTTTTGAGGGAAGGTTGTAATGGACTCAGAGCTAAGTATCTGTGTATGAGAGAGACACGTGAGAAGCTGTACTTTTCCATAGTGTTCTGCTGCAGGTTTTTTTCATAACTATTGTGGTTGCTGAAGTAACCTTCACTTCCTCGATCTCTCCAGGATTTTGAATGAACTCATCTTACGTCCGTGTCCGTGTACATTTATGTATAACTCAGTGGGATGAAAATATATTTGATCCTTACACGTACATTCATATACATCTTCAAGTGCTTCCTTAGTTAGGAAGAATTAAGTTAGGTCCTGTTGTTTTCCAGATAATATGTGGCGGCTAAAGAGTCTGAGCCAGGCTTGGTTGTGGTGAGTTGGGATAGGAAGGGCCTCTTGGTTTGTCCTAGTGATCTGGTTTCATAATAACTGTTTATAATTTTTCCTGGGTCCACAGACAGGCGGCGTTGCAGGACCTTATTCTTCAAAGAAGGCCATATAATCCTAAAGCTCGGTAAAAAATACCATACTGACAACAAAGTAAGAGTTAGCCCTACTAGTTCTATCACCTCTTTTGTAACTCTCTTGTCCACTCCCTGAAATGGAAGCTAGAAAATCTTGATCTGGAGAAAGAAGTTGTAACTTAAGGCAGCAGAAGGAAAACAGCTTTAAAGGCTGATTATAAATTTAGTTATAAGAGGGAACAACTGAATTATCTAGAAGTCCCTCTTGCCGTTTATTCTCTTCCACAAACACAGAGCTTGTCTTGGTGCAAGATGGATGTTTTGAAAATTGCGTTATTGGATCTTGTGATCTGTTCAAATAGAGAAATACATTTTAAAGAGTTTGAGCCTTATGTATTAGTAAAAGACCAGATTCTCTTTTGCCTCAGACGGGATGAAGTTAGATAGGTAGAGAAGTAGTAGTGTAAATCTGTATACCAAAAAGACAGACATTCCCTGCTATTCCATTTAGCCTGTTGAATTCTAGGATAAGTTTGTATTGATAGATTTTGTATTGATCTAGTTGGATATTTAAGGACAATGTGTTGCTCAGGCTGCATTTGAAACAAGTGAAGGATGTGACTGGATCCTTATTTCTAATAAAATCTATTGTGACAGTTAGAATCATTCAATTGTATAATTCTTTGTAGAGATGAGAAACATTTTAGAGATAATCTAGTCCAACCCTTTTATTTTAAAAATGAGAAAAACAAGGCTTAGAGGAAACTGGTTGTGGATAGTAGCAAAAGTAGAAATCAAAGTTTTTAGCAGTTCAGACCAGGACACTTTTTGTGACAGTTTCCTTGTATCCCCCTTCTGACCTCTTTCAGAAAATAGGCAGTGAATTGCAAGGTAACACAATCATGCAGCAAATAATGGGCAAAATATCAGTATTTTATTTTTTTAAATTCTCCAGTAACACAATAACAAGTTGAGTGCACTACTTACTGGAATATTATGCTGTAAACTTCACATATCTAGGTAGTTTTGTCCATTGGAATTTGACCTAATAAGCAAAACTTTTAGTATTTCCTACATCATGTAGAATAGCCTTAAGTTTGTAGGTGTGTTAATTTTGTGAGTCAGGTTTGTTTTCCTTGGAAAATATGGATGGTATATGTTGACTTCAATCAACTAGGGAAGTGTTTCTTTGTTTTGAGTGTGCTTTATTCTGTCTTCTGCATAGTGGTGTAAACAATGGGTTTGTCATTTGTTATGAAGATGAGTCAGGAGAAGTAAGTATAAGAAGGTACAGCCATTAAAAATAAATCTATACGAGTACATGATGGGGGATGAGCAGACAGAAAGGACTACAATACCTGCCTCCATCCTTGACCAAAATAAATAAATAAACCTCACAGTCACTGTACACCAAAAGCCAAATGGATGAGTTGTGCAGTTTTTCATTTCATTACCATTTTATTGATACGTCACCAGAAGTTTAACTTTGTAGAGCTAGGAAATCTTGTGGCTAATACTCATTGTATATAAGTCCTTTTTCTCATTCATTCTGTTTTGCTTACACAGTGAAGAATGTGGGTAACATGATCCTTGAGATTATCCTTCCAATAAAAATCATCAAAAGGTTAAAAAAGAATATGAAACAGTGCAGTTTTGGAGTATTTAACCTAAAAAAGTGGAGGATAATATAACAAATATATGCATTCGTTATGAAGAAATGCCAGCTGGATATTTTCTATATCTGCTAAAAGAGGAAAAGTTGGAAGGAAAGGAGATTCAATTTACCTAAGAACTTTATTTGAATGTTGAAGAACAGGAATCTAATTCTTATTGAGAATTGGATTTTCTCTTCAGTATTTCAAAGTAGAATAATCTGTTTTAGATAATTTGTATAACTTCAGGTATACCTGGAAACAAAGATATAAGACCAAGAGCTTTCCCCTTCCCTCTCCCACCTCCCCCCCAATTTGACACAAAAACTTAGATCAAAAATTGGAAAATGTTTACTTTTCTTGGCTTTCAGTGGATGATTGTCCAATAAGGAAAACAGAAATGTATTTCCAACACAAAAGCTGTGATGCACTTCTTTTCAAATTAGTGGACTAAAATAAATTGCTTACTTGAATATTACATGAAAAAAATGTTGAAATTCCAAGAGTTGATATTCCATTTCAGAAATAACATTGCGTTCTCTTGAATGCATTTTTAAATGTAATTGAATGGCATCAGTGTTTTCTAAAGCAGAATTCAAAGAGGGGAAAAACTTGCTATTAAAAGTAATATTTTTGTTGAAGATGCATAAAATGCAAATGCAGTAGGAGTTGATAAGAATTCTATCTATTTTTATAGGTAGCTTGAGGCTTTAAATTTAAGGGACAAACCTAGTGAAAAAATTTTAGACAAGAGGAGCCATTAAATAAATTAGTACTGATTTATTCATTCACTTTTGAAAGGATTTTGAAAGGGAGAATCTGTTTATAGACAGGAAAGAGGGAGGACTGAGAATGAGGGAGAAAGAAAAATTATTTCAGAAGTAGATTGTGTTTCCTCAAGTTCACTTCCAAATCTTTTTTGTTTGTTTGTATTTCAATGGAAAATGCCGTCTAAGGTCCTCTGTTATAATGGTAGAATCCCAGATTAGCCCAGAGAAGCTTACTTGTTCCCCAGTTTCATCTCTTAATTGGTGAAGCAGTATTTATAAACAAGATGTTAAGATCTTTGAAGCAATGGTTCCGTCATAATTGTCTTGTCTCCTATTCTGCTTAAGCACAGTACTTGATAAAAAAACATTTTCAGTGAATAACTAGTACCCAGGGAGAATCCAGAATTCATCTAGGCAACCAACCAAGAGAAGGAATAGAATTTCTTTGTCTCTTGGATCCGGGACTGCTGAACAGCTTTAGTATGGATTTCAACGTCTTTCAATTACTTAATTACTTCTCTTAGTGATGGTGATCTTCCATAGGTATTAGGGGAAAGCCAGTTAAACCTGTAGACATTGATTGTCAAGTGCCTGATAAGTACCTTAAACCTCCTAGATATATTTCCATTTTAAGAACATAATAAAAGCTGTTACTTATTCAGTGCCTACAGTATGTCAAGTCTAACATAACGGTTAAGAGCATGCACTGGAGCTTGGATTTAAATCCTTGATTTATCACTCACTAGCTTTGTGGTCTTGGGCAGGTTACTAAACCTCGCTCCACCTCTGTTTCCTCATATGTAGATGGTGATAATAGTAGATTCTACCTAATAGCATTGTTACAAGAATTAAATGAGTTAATACAGTTTTCATGTATTGTCATTTTATTTTCATCATAACCCTACGAAGTCATATTTGTTTCATTATTCAGTAAATTTTTGGAGTTGCTATATATGCTGGGCATTTTGCTATACTGGCTAAGCAATGGTGAGGAAAACTGTTTTAAGATACACTGATTTACAAACGCACCAATGATTAAATAAAGGTTTGGGGGAGGTATGAGAGTAAGATTAAGTGGTAAATGGATATCCTGAACAAAGTGTATAAGTTTCAGAAGTATGCAAATGTTTGTGGTGGTGATATTCATATTCACTTTAGAGGCAAAGTTACTGGCTTAGAAGGATTTTAGGTAACTTCATCAGGGTCGCATAGCTAATAAGTGGCTGAGCGAGACTTATATACTATGTCTGTTTGATTCAAAGCCTGCTCATTCATTCACTTACTCATTCACATGCTCTCTTATGTTGTGTGATATTGAGTGCAACATCTCTGATTTTGGCATTTCAGATAATGTTAAAATGAATTCAGATGGTATAGGGGGAGATACTTTTTGGCAGTAGGGCAACCATTGAAGACAAGTTGGCTATCCCAAGCTTTTCTTTCCTTTTCTTACTCTGAAAAACTTACTGAAAAAAGAATACAGAAAAGTATAGATAAATACATGCATATTCCCACCATCCAGAATTAACAATTGTTAAGAAAATGAAACTTTATAGTGAAAACCACTCTCTAGAGGCAATTTATTGCTTCTCCCTGCCTCTCAAGATTTGTACTTTTCAAGGTTATCTGCCTTTATTAAGCTAAAAAAAAATATTTTCCTTTTAAATAGGAGTTCTTAACTTGGGGTCTGGATAGGCTGTGAATACCCTGAAATTAAACACGAGATTTTGTTGAAGTTGCTTATAAGATTCCCCCCAACCTATGAGTACAAACTTTCTTAGATCCTCAGAGGTCTGTGACTACCTTCTTCCTCCCACCTTGTTGTTTTGAAACATTGTCACTGCAGTGGCAGTGGGGAATCAGACAGGCATTTATGTGGATTGTTTAGAAACTGCATTAACTAAGGTAATTTGGTAACAAATGTGGTGTTTGTGTTGTGAAGTAGAGGGTCCAAGATTTTTCTGTTCTTTCTGGTAAACTAGCCCTATGCCTACTCTCTCTTAAATCCTTGTATTGTGCTTTTTAATTGATGAAGCAGTTTTCATCTATCCTGCTGTGGACTTAGATCTGAGGACAGAAACATTATCTTAAAATACATCTTTATATCTCCTGCACTGTACTGTGTGTGTCTGTACACCATTGTCTTACCTTTGCTAGGTTTTCATGAAGTCAGATCTCTGAAGTAAAAATAGTTCATAAATATTTCTTCTTTAACCACTTAACTCTGGAAATATTTGGCACCTCAAGTCTTAAGGTAACAGAACTTGGTTGCAGCTGTTTATGGTGGACCCCGTCAGATGTTTTAATTGGACTCTAATTACTCAATTTA